GGTTAGGTAAACCTATATTTAAAGCAAGTTGTGACCCTAGGCATAGGTCTAGGGCTGTGACAGGTAATATTCGTAATATTTTAAAGGTTAACATGGCTGATTTGTGTTTTATTTGTAATAAGTTACTTTCTGAAGGTGATTCTGTGACTTTTGTGCGCGGTATAAAGACTTTAAAAGAAGCAATTATTGAGAGAAATAAACATAAACTATCTAAATACTTTGACTTCTGTGAACGTTCATATTGAGTGTCGAAAATTGTACGCTAAAGCGTACTATAGTCACGGCCAAATCTATATGGGTGCACGTCATCAATGAGATATAATGACGTCATCATTACCAACTTTGAATTGTAAAGTTACTGCCGTTAAATTTGCTTTTTTAAGGCGTAATTCTGATGTGTTATTAAAAAGAAATCATTCATTTGCGTTTTGTTTACCAAGAACTGTAACAATTTCCTTGTTTTAAAACGTTTTTTCACGAAATTATCAAAATAAAACCATTCACTTAGTAATTTTTGTGTGTGCCAGTTGGTAATAGCTTAAGGCTGGCGCGCACCGTTCAATATTATTGATGGGTCGCTGTCATTTTATATTTGACGTATTTTTGTAATTGTGACATTTCGTCCGGAAGCATCGTTTGTTGCAAATTATTATAAATAATATTATACATTATGTTTATAAGATTCTATCCCTGGATTGTGCAAACAATGATATAAGGCTTGTTGGCAACTAGCCGTTATTAGATTTCGAAGACATTGCGCCCTTAATAATAAATTTGGGGAAATAATCAGACTTCAATTCTGACCTGGTTTGCTCTGATGACAAGGACGACTGGTAATTTATATATTTTGTGCTTCTGATAATTTAGAATTTTTTTGTTATGTGCATATGTAATAAAAATGTAATAAACTCCGTTTGTTTTCTCTTTAAACACATTTAATAAAAATTTGCCTGTAACAACTCCTAATTAGTTAGTGCAGAAGATTATAACAAGGACGTTATAATTCCATCTTAATAACAGACCCCACCGCTATAAACAGTCAACAATACACGAGCGTTAGATTGTGTCTGGGCACGTATGAATAGACCTTAACGCTGACGTCATATGCCGTTGATGACGTGCACCCATACAGATTTGGCCGTGACTATATAGTAAAATTGCAGCAGCAAAATGTCGCCTTGAAGAGACTGGACCTTCAACGTCATCAACTGTACCTCGTAAAAAAGGGAATGATATGTTTGATTTTAATATATTGTGCTTATTTTGTGGTGAAGTCGCAAATGAGGCAACAAAGGCAAAAAAAGTACAAACGCGTTATAAGTAAGTTTTTGAAGATATGACAATTAATGTCAATGATAACGGGGAGAGTGTTGATGAGAATGAGTCTGAAATTGCTGGCCAACCTGAAGAAGACGAGGATGAAGAAGATAAAGATTATTATTAATAATAATATTAATAATATTGACATAAATAAAAACATTTTTTCCTACTCCGATCCAATTATCCTTCATTAAAATTAAATTAAAATATAAGATATATATGAAGATAAAATATATTTGATTTAAAAGAAATATAAGTATAAGGTATTAAATTTTTTTTAGTAATATTTATTATATAATTAATTAAAAAAACGGTATAATAGGAGGTTCACGATTTACCTTGCGCTAAAGGTACGTATGGCTGAGCGCTCCACACTCTGCGCCCTCTATCTCAAAAACGGTTCGAGGTATAAAAAAATTTTGTAAACAAAATTTGTAGAGAATTTTATTTTCTACAACTTTTATAATAAATGCAAATACGATAGGAGGTAGAGAAAACGAGATATTCTCAAAAAACTGATTTTTGCGACCTTTGACCTTGAATATCTAAGGCCGCTCACACGTTGGCATATGTGACTTTTGAGACAACATTTGTAATGCTAAAATAAAGGTTGTCACAAAAATTCAGCTTATTCCGTTAGATTCCGAGGTTGATCCCCTTTTTTGACTAAGATGACTGTACTACTTAGATAAAAAATAAAATGTAAATATTGTGTGCCATCTTCAAAAAAGCTTTTTTGACCCCAGGTTTCTATCAACTTCTTTTATATTTTGCGCTTTAGAACCTCACCTCTTTAAATTTATTGATTTAATCCCGGCGCATTCGCCATTTTTTATAAGTTTTTTGCTCTTTTTATTAATTATGATCAATAATTGTTGTATTTTTCTATTATAGTTTATTAAATTAATCAGTTAAATATCTTACTATGATCTTGTATATGTATACCTGGCATATCATCTCACCAAACCGTTGGTTTCTGAAGTTATTATTTAAGCTAATGACCTGTTTTTTTATTTACTTTTTTTTAATAAAACGCAGGTACTATTAAAAAATCAGAAATGTTTGTTTTTAATCGAAAATGGCATTAAAGAATTAATTAATTTATTTATTTTTGCAAACTAATTTTAAAAGTATTTTTTTTCATTTCATAATTTTTATTAGTTATTTTTTTTAATGAAGATTGTACTTATTCTCCAAGTGGTTTTTTACTTGGGTATTAACTTTTATTTTTTTACAGTCTAAAACCTATTTTTTTTTAAATGTCGTTAACACTTCCATTATTTAGGAAGGGTTTTTTAATTTTAATAGCAAAAAATTATTACTTGTCAATAAATATACATACATGCAATAATATATATTTTTTGTAGAAATTTTTACGCTTTATAAAAAAGCTTTTATTCAAATGATATCGAAAGTAAAAATTTAAAAAAATCAATGTAAAAAGTATTGTCCTTATCTTTATTTTAATTTGTAAGTTGTTTTTTTACTTCGTTATCATTTAAATTTCTTGTTTACAGTTTAAAAACAGTTTTTAAAATTTTTCCCTCAACCCTGCCTAAATGATGATTCTTTTAATTTTAAAGATATCGATTTGAAGTTTATTTTTCTAAAATATTTTAACCGAAAGTAGCAAGTTTGTTATTTTAAATATAACATACATTATTAAATTCTACAAAAAAAATTTGATAAAATTATTATACCATGTCCTATACCTAAAGTAAATAGTTTTGGACTTTTTTCGTTAAAATTTTACAAATACGCGTCAATAAAAAATAGCCTGGAACCTTAAAACATTGTTTAAAAGATTCCATGTTAATTCCTTATCATTTTTTAATCAATCAATCGGTACATACTATGCAACCAAGTAGGTTCAATTCTTTCTTATAAGTATTACCAGTAATGGGTCAAGAAAGTTTATTGAAGAAACTAAGAAAATTAAATGTTTAAAATGTCATGAGTTACTATATTGTATATTATATTTAAATATATTGTTTATTAACCTTAAACATAAAAGTATCTTTATTTTTACTATATTTTGTATTAATGTGTAATATATTATAATATTAGATGTACACCTTACATTTGATTAAATCATATAGTAAATATTACTATTTGTAGATAGTAAAATCAATTTACTATACGAACATATTAAAAATTAAAATATATATTATACATTTATGATTTAGTAATATTGGTGTTGTAATCTTTACTAAAATTGTATAATAAAAAATACTATTTTGTATTACAATCTTAATATTGTATTGACGAATATACAAGGTGTCCCTAAACTTAGTGAAATAAATTTAGGAGCAGATTAAGCAAGTCAAAATAAGACGAAAATCTAAATAAATATTTTTCCTAATTAGGTATGTTTAAAAGATACAGAGTGATAAAGTGTTACTTATCATATCAGTTTTTTAATATAACTTCCACTGTGGTGGACTTGGAAAGGTGATATTTTGCGAACAGTCACTTACTACCAAAACACATATTCACACATAATTACAATTGTTCGTGAACGCAGTGTCGTGGAAACAGGGGTTCCTTAAGCTTATTGTCCCATACAAACTTTGAGGTTAGGTTTTTATACCATTTGATGCAATTTTTCGATTACTCAGTTCGGCTACTATTAAAAAGGTGTACCTCTCAAACTTATAAAACTTGATAAAATTAACCGTTTCCGAGGTATCCAAGGACTAAAAGGTAACAAATTTTTTAATTGAAAAAACTACAATTTTTTTAATGTGACGGTCAGGGCAAAAAGTCTCGAGGCTCATGGAACGCCGTTAGTTTTTTCAATTAAAAAATAAAATTTGTTATCATATACCTTTTAATCCTTTTAAATAATGCGATATAACAATTATTGTAATCTCGAATATATTGGAAACGGTTTATTTTATCGAAGTTTGAGAGGTACACCTTTTTAATGGTAGACGAACTGTGTAATCGAAAAATTATATCAAATGTTATAAGAACCTAACCTCAAAGTTTGTATGGGACAATAAGCTTAAAGCAACCCCTGTTTCTACGACACTGTGTTCACTCAAACAATTGTAATTATGTGTGAATATGTGTTTTGGTAGTAAGTGACTGTTCCCAAAATATCACGTTTCCAAGACTACCATAGTGGAAGTTATATTAAAAAACTGATATGATAAGTATCACTCTGTATCTTTTAAACATACCTAATTAGGAAAAATATTTATTTAGATTTTCGTTTTATTTTGACGTTTAATCTGCTCCTAAATTTATGGCACTAAGTTTAGGGACACAAAATAGTATTTTTTATTATACAATTTTAGTAAAGATTACAACACCAATATTACTAAATCATAAATGTATAATATATATTTTATATTATATAAAAAAACTAATATGATAGGTAACACTTTATCACCCTGTATATTGAAAACCTAAGTAATTAGGAAAAATATTTATTTAGGTTTTCGTCTTATTTTGACTTGCTCAATCTTTTCCTAAATTTATGCCAATAAGTTTAGGGACACCTTGTATAATATTGTTACCCTAAAAATTTGTTAAAGTAAATTTTACTATAGTTTTTTTACCATCTAAAATTTACTATACATTTCTCTCCGTGTATAAAATATTACACAAAAATAGTATTTTTTACTTAAAGTAAATTGAATTAGGACGTGTAACAAAAATGCAATATATCTTAGGTGTGTGGGAGCTGGGTTGGATACTGTGCGACATCTGGGTCTCCTTGGACGTCCTCCTTTGCACGGCTTCGATCCTGAGCCTGTGCGCCATCAGCGTCGACCGCTATTTGGCCGTAACGCAACCGTTGAGCTATTCGAGAAAACGGCGCTCCAAACGACTGGCGCTCACCATGATTCTCGTCGTTTGGCTCAGCTCCGCTCTCATAACGTGCCCTCCGATGTTCGGATGGTAAGAAATAATGCTCTATGTGCTAAAGTTGATTATGTTTTTTTGTTTGGAGTTTAGGGAATGACTACGCTTTTGTATGACAATGCAATTTAATTTTTAATAGGGTATAGTAGACATTTATAGTTATAGACCAGGGAAAAAAGTTAAATGGCAAAGTTGTAGGTAATAAAAGGATCTACAACTTTTGTAATTACAATTTTTTTACATAACCTCAAAATTTATGTGAAAAATTCAAAAAACCAAGTTTTTGGTTTTTTATTTTTATCTTTTTCAAAAAAAAAATTTTTTTCACGAAATTTGGTGAAAACTTACCTTTTTATGTCCCAAATACACTGTAATTTATTTGATTTGAAATATTTATTATTTCGCCTTATTTTGACTTAATATCAAAAAAGCACCCTAATTTTCAATCGAAATTTCTCGCGTCAAAATATCAGCTTTTTTCAAAAAGTCGGTGTGCTTTTTGTTTTGAAATCTCTACTTTCTGATGGTGTAAAAAAAATATACATTACTATGGTAAATGTTCTCAGAAAATGCAAAAAATATTATAATGAATAACGAAAAAAACTCGAATTCGAAAATTTATTTTAGTCATTATGTACAATTTCATCAAAAAAATGGGATTGTTGCAATTTTTTTTAGTTAAAAAGTATACTTATTAAATTCTAATAACATTTATGTCAGAAAATGTCATAAAATTTAAAAATACATGTAAATCATACTATTGAATTTAGATACTTCATTCTGATTACGTTATTCATTATAATATTATTTGTATTTTCTGAGAACATTTACCATAGTAATGTATATTTTTTTTACACCATCAGAAAGTAGAGATTTCAACGAACAAAAAGCACACCCACTTTTTGAAAAAAGCTGATATTTTGACGCGAGAATATTCGATTAAAAATTAGGGTGCTTTTTTGATATTTAGTCAAAATAAGGCGAAATAATAAATATTTCAAATCAAATAAATTACATTGTATTTGGGACATAAAAAGGTAAGTTTTCACCAAATTTCATGAAAAAAAATTATTTGAAAAAGATAAAAATAAAAAACCAAAAACTTGGTTTTTTGAATTTTTCACATAAATTTTGAGGTTATGTGAAAAAATTGTAAATACAAAAGTTGTAGATTTTTTATTACCTACAACTTTGACATTTAACTTTTTTCCATAGGACTTGTAGTTTTGCCGGAAATCGAGATAAACCATTTTTTACCCTTAAAACCCCCCCTCCCACTTCCCGAACTCAGATCGCCCGTAATTTATTTTTCCTTTAATTTTTATTATATTCCCCTCCTTTTCCAATGGGTTTCATCCTAGTGTAATTTTTTTTCTCTTTTTACCATTTTTAAAGGCTTCTGCACTGGTCTATTATTGGACAATTAACATTAATACTGTAAAAACAAGAGTTCTATATAATAATAATAATATAGTTTATTTGCTTCCAAAAAAAACAAAGCACGTCAAGGTAAAAATAATATAAGGTAAGAAGTGTAAAGAGTAAAACATATTGAAATTGGTAAGACAGAACGTATTTTTAAACATGTTAAAAATATTACAAAACAAATTATAAATATTACAAAACAATTAAAAGGAAAGATTAAAAAATTCGTTAAAATCGTAGATAACATTATCCAATAAAACTTCTTTTATAGTATCTTTAAAATTTGGTTTACTTTTGAGTCTTATATATATCGGTAATTTATTGAAAAACTTGATACCCCAATGGTTAAATGAGTTTTGGGTCCTGGAAATTCTGTTTTGTGGTGTCATCAAATTTTTCTTATGACGTGTTCCATATCCATGACTAGAATGGTCCTTATAGGAGTTTTGATTTGAGTGAACATACATTAGACAGGTAAGTATATAAGTAGCTGGTAAAGTCAGTATTTTAAGTTTTTTGAAAAGTGCTCTGCAGCTTGTTGTTTGACCTGTTCCTTCAATGGCTCGTATTGCTCTTTTTTGTAGGAGGAATATTTAAATAGTTAACTTAAAGACAAAACATTAGATGACGCTGTATACAATTATAAATATCTCAGTCGGTAATAATATAGAACTACTTTATTTTGGGTCCAATATAGGTCAAAAAAGTTCGCACGTTACTTTGGTGGTAAGATTTTCGTTTTTTTTCTCAAGAGCAGGGCAGTGTTTAAATTACAATAAAAAATATTTCTAAAAAGTGTACCTATCGATGTGTGGTATAAATGTGTTCCTTATGGTTTAACCATTGTCTTTAATGCGTTTTAATTTTAATTCTGAAAACAAACAGTAAAATGGCCAGTGTCCAATTACTGGTTGGTAAAAAATGTAAATTTCTATTATTATGTCCAATATCATACTCTATTTGTATCCCGGACAATTACCAGCCAATTCTTATATAAAATTGTCCTCTGAATCCGAAAAGACCGTCAAAAACTATAAAAGTTAAGCAGTTTTTGAGATATAGTCAATTCCATATTATATGTAAAATTAATTATATTTCAAAAACTGTTCTACTTTTATAACTTTTGACGACATTTTCGGATTCATCGAATGATATTTCATAGGAATTGACTGCTAAATGTCCTGGATACAAATTGCTGTTGGCTAGAATTATTAGTAGCTGCTTTTTCGCTGTGACATTTTTGACTAATTCATTTTTAGAGGGTAAGTAATATAGTGATTTCTTCGTCACAGGACATCTTGCAGAATAACATTGATTTAAATACAGTGCATGATAGATAACATAAAAAACTAATGGTAACAAAATTAATAAATTCGGAAAATACTTTTAACATACCACCCGGAAAAATATTAGATATATATAAATCATCCGTGTTCCGGCCTAAACATTATAAATGCTTCACAAACTAGAGATACCACACTTAATCATATTTGCAACAATTTCAGAAGTCAGACCAAGGAAGTAGTAGTTACCTTCAGAATCCAAGAGGAATCCGAGAAATAAATATATGAATTATATGATATTTACAAAAACGAAAAACAAAATTACCTAAAACAGCAATTTATCTTTAAAAAATATTTAACAATTTATTTGATGTAAAGTTGTTATGTTTATATAAAAATTGTATGCCAATAATTATGGCCCATGTGTCCAATTACTATATAAAATGTCCAATTACTATACGACCAAACAGATAAACAGACAAACAACATTTTATTCATTTTAAATATACATTTTATTTTATAACATTTTATTCACTTTAAATATAAAGTGATAGGCAAAAGTATGGAACAAATTTATTATGAAATTTTTAATTCAATAATATTTTGGGATGATAGTTTAGGGTATTATTAAATTTAAAATTTTTTGATTTAAAATATTTTATTTCTTAAAAACTAATTTTTATATTCATAAAAATTATTTGAATTAACAAATTGTTGAATTGCTACAATTTATTTCCAAATATTTCTTATACTTATTTCAAAAATAACCCCTGATTGTTTTAATTACTTCTAATCGAGCTACTAATACTCAATGTAAACAATACTTTTACTGAAAATAGTTTACATTTAATTTGATTTAAATTTAGGGTTTTACTGGATTAAGTATCTACTAGGTCGTTCCCTTAAAGTATACCTATGGGTAATATTTATTTTAAATAAAATGTAATTCATTTTTTATTCGAATACAATAAAAGATAAAAGTTAATGCCGCTTTAATCCGTATTTACACTTGATATGTGATATAAGGTGGGTATGTACAAAAAAACATTTATAGAAACATTCATATATTTATTTTAGTAAAACTAACAAAGTGGTAACTCTATTGAGGCAGTAAATACTGCAGTAGGTACTGCATCACATTTTCGATTCGAAATAAGCGTTTTAGCGTTGAGTGAGAATTAGAAGAAAATAGCCCCAAACCGTTTGCAATAAGACTTCAGATCGAAACCTCAGAAATTTGATGCTAGAACGGTTTGTTTTTATTCGAAATACCCAAATAGCTACCCATGCAAATATATTTATAGTGCCTAATAATTTATTGCATTTTTCTTGGTATTTTTCCTTGTTTATTTCTGTTGGCCGTTATTATTAAATGGGAAAAATTAAACTTACCTTCAAATATTGAAATTAATAATTCCAAATTACATTATTTTAATAAAAGTCCTCCCTTTCCTTTATGTACTGCATGCAAGTTGACTTGCATTTTATTTAAGAATAATTATACTCTCTTCAAAAATATTGTTATTTTGGCAAAGAATAGCTTTTTGTTCATTAAAATTGAACTTGTCTTAAAGGAATCTAATGTTTTAATAATTATATAAGTATAATTTAGTGGTATTGCAATAGTAAATATATTTAATTGAAAAATTATATAGATTTCGAAAGAGAAAACATTTTCACCTAATTTAAGAACAATCCTTTATTTAATAAAATATATTTTTTATTCTTTGATAAAATAAAAAATACTTAAAATGAATATTGAAAGAGTTAAAAATTAATATTAAGCAAATACTTTAATGAATAATAAAGTATTGTTTTACTAAGTAAATTATAATTGGGTTAAATATAAAATTATAAGTATAGAACTATTTTTGAATATAGAAATGTATTTTTTCCGTGCCGATCATATTCGTTAAGTTCCTGCACTAGTCTAATTTTGTATGTATATTAGAGTGTTTCTAATAGTGTTGAAAAATTAATAGTACATTAAAAAACAAAAAAGTTGGCGCCTATTTGATCCCTTAATATTAATATTAAGGTTTGCCTCAATTTATTTGTTGTTTTTCCATTTCAATAACACGGGAATTTTTATTTTTTTAATTTTGAATTCTTAACTTTGGAATGGTTTGTTTTCGCAACACCCAAGCGAGAGGAGTTATAGACAATTTCACGTTCTACAAAAAACATCTGAAGGACAAATTTTGTTCGATTTTTCTTTTTATACGATTCTGCAATAATTTTTCTATAAAAATATCACTTTTTTTGGTAATAATTATCTTAATACATTAAATCTGATTTTTTTAAGTACCCACGATTTTTTAACTAATA